TTCTATTAATTTTCCCGGTGGAAATGTGCAAAAAATGCTGATTGTAAGTTTGCTAAAAGCAGCGAAGGAAGACTTACCTACACAGGCCTCCTTACCTGTCGTGGAGTTGGGACAGAGAGAGGGAGAGATGGGAGAGAGAGGGAGGGGAGAGAGAGAGAGAGGAGGGCACGGGGAGGGAGAGAGAGAAAGAGAGGGAGTGAAAGAGCAAGCTGGAGGTAGAGTCAGTTGGGCTTCAGCCTTGTTGTGAGTCGGACGTGTGTGTGTATGTGTGTGTGTGTGTGTGGAGGCTGTGTCTCACACACACACACACCCCTCGCTTAAGGGTACCGAGTTCGCTACCACAAAACACCCTTCGACACCCATAAAAAGGACTTTGGTATATTAAGTGTTGGGTCTCCTACACTGAAAATACATCTAAGCCTCACTATACTCAGAGTGATTTATTAAGGAAAACAATTATTGAAAAACCCTCACCTAAATTTTTTTAAGGGTATTATAACAGAGGCAATTGTAATCGTATTCAAAGCAGGAAAATATACAGAATACGACAGGACAAATGACCTGTAGGAGTTAACTAAATTTTCTCCCTCTACAGTCGCATCTTGCGAGACATTACTCACCACTGAGACATTCTACCTTCGCCTCAAGAAATTCACACATTGGAAAATTTTTCACAGCAATATATATATATAAATATATATATACACATTTTACAGGCGAGTCTTTAAGGACAAACTTCCTGGACACACATCTGATCATCATAGACTATTATACTCGCAAATATATGAAATAATATTACTTTTACCAACCTGGTAAAAAAACAAACTTAAAATCCACCTATCTCTTTCCAGCTGACATTATTAAAGTCTTGAAAATCCTGAGAACTTGGTGAAATAAAGTTTGGGAATCTTCATGTAAACATTGTTTAGTTTATTACATTACATTCCACTGTGAGCAGCTTCTGCCCAGACGGTGCCACGAATATATTAATATAGTGATATATATATATATATATATATATATATATATATATATATATATATATATATATATATATATATATATATATATGTGTGTGTGTGTGTGTGTGTGTGTGTGTGTGTGTGCTCACCTAGTTGTGTTTGCGGGGGTTGAGCTCTGGCTCTTTGGTCCCGCCTCTCAACTGTCAATCAACTGGTCAACAGATTCCTGAGCCTATTGGGCTCAGGAATCGGGCTGTGTGCGTGCATGCATGCGCTCTCGCCTATTTATACTAACCTATTTGTGCCGGTAAGATCGAGCATAAGCTCTTGGGCCCCACCATTCCAGCAGCCGGTTGTCTAATGCAATGACTCCTGACCAATTTCCTTATCATATCTTCTTTTAAAATTATAAATGGAGTGTGCTCCTTCAGTCTGCTTCTTCAGATCTTTTAATTTTCTGATTTCTCTTAGGCAAAAGAAAACTGTTTAATATTCCTTTTGCTCATTTGAGTCTCAAGGTTTCATCCGTGCTCTGATGTTGAATTAGTGTTCATTACGAACTTTTCCTCTTTTTCAATCCCTTTAGTATTTGCAAAGGAGTCACGGTAACGTGACTGAAGATATGTTGACCAAACTACTCATCATAAGATGAGACGACGACGTTTCGGTCCGTTCTGGACCGTTATCAAGTCGACTGTGAGTAATCGACGGACCGAAACGTCGCCGTCTCTTCATTTTCTGATGTGTGGTTTGGTTATATCCGTTAATATTTCATACGTCTCTATCATGTTTCCCCTCCCTCTCTCTCTCCTCTGTTCTAGCTGTCGTCAGACTTAGTTCTTTCCGTCTCTTTGTACTCAACTCGCAATTCTGGGACGAGGCTCGTCCTCAAACTTCTAAACCTTTATGGGTTTTGATATGTGTTCTATTAGATAGGCCTACACGATAGGACGGCATACTGTAAGACTGGTCTCACGTAGGTGATGTGACGCGATCTAAATGCCTCCTTATTTAATGTGTGTTTGTGTGTGTTTGTGTGTGTGTGTGTGTGTGTGTGTGTGTGTGTGTGTGTGTGTGTGTGTGTGTGTGTGTGTGTGTGTGTGTGTGTGTGTGAGAATCACGAAGAAATTTTTACTCAATGAATAATATGAAAACATTTTAACATGAAGGAAAATGACTTAAGATGTTTCCTTGTATTTCAAACCACGTTCAACACAGTATTCCGAAGAAATATTATTATCTATCCGATATATTAATATTTCCGAAAATCATATTATATATGCGCATGAGAGAGAGAGAGAGAGAGAGAGAGAGAGAGAGAGAGAGAGAGAGAGAGAGAGAGAGAGAGAGAGAGAGAGAGAGAGAGTTAAACATTATATGTAATTATAATTTCCTTAGTATTTTGTATATACAACATTCATTACAGTCGTTGGTTTTAAAAAATTGCGTCAGCGCATTAGCCTTCAGATACAGGAAGCAAAATGTTCAGGCTTGCATTACAGGGTTACAGAGCTGCCTGCAAGCGTCTGAAGAATAAATCAAATTCATCCATTAATTTTTACAACATATATAGTCATTTACTGCGTGAATTATTTCCATTTACTCCTAATTTACACGATGTTATTTACAGTGTATCATTATTTAACATTTACAACTTTCATTGGTACTATTTACAACAAGTGAGCATTTAGAACCTCATTATTAGCATATATGCTCATAATAATTTACATTTACACAATGTGTTATTTTTATTTCTACCTTGTATCATTACCATTTACAATCTTCATTATTAATATGTCAAAATTGCATTATAAAAATTTTCAAATTACATTATTAACATTTACAACTTATTTTTTTTAACATTTACAACTTATTTTTTTAACATTTACAACCTTTCTTATTTTGCCATCTTCCTTATTAACATCAACTTGCATGAATAACATTCTGCAACATAATCATTTGTCTCATCGAATCTCCAATCATCATGTGATTGGTGATTATATTAGATTGTTTAGACACTTGTATACTAACAGTGAATGACTGAATGACTGAAAGGTGTCATTTAAGTTAGGAAATAATGTGGTGAATGTGATTCAGTGTGGTCCCATTTTTTTTAAATATTATTAATTTTTTGATTTCATATGAACTATCTCAATGTTTTAATTACACTGGATCAGTGGAGGACCATAGGAAATTGGACCCACATGTACTTTAGAGTTAAAAATGTAAAAATTTCTTTAACTTTCCCCCAAAAAACGTTCACAATTAAAAGTTTGTTTGTATCTGCCGGATAAAAAGTATCTGCCGGATACTCTGCCGGATACTCTGCCGGATGAAAAGTATCTGCCGGATACTCAAAACCAAACATCCGGCTCAGATGTGATGGCCAAAACTCATCGACAATATTGTCGTCGTCTCCTTATTTTCTTAGCGTCTGGGGTAAGAATGCCACCAAGTTTTTTTGAAGGCACTGCATGGGTTCTAGACTAATTGTAACAACAAGAGACCCAAAAGTTTCCAGCTTGCTTGTCCAGCGCCTCTGTACCTTGCATCTATAACATTTCAAACTACCATCAATAACACCCTACATCAATAATACTTACCATTTTACATCAACAGCATTTAGCACCATGCATCAATGACGTATTTTGCAATAAAGTTCCCAGCTTTAAACCACATAAAGTATGATTTTCACGTTAAAAAATATTATCTTGAAATTTCCTTCGTAATATCAACAAGTCACGTTGATAGGAATATTTAAATACATATCCTCTCTTTCTACTGTGAGAATTCGCCTTCTGTGTTCTGGTGGAAATTTACTGTGTGAAAATTCGGGTGAAAATATCCTCCCAATGTCTTCAGGAAGCAAGTGGGTCTTTTTGTAAATCCAAGTATCCCGTGAATAATATATAATATATATATTATATATATATTTGCGGAAAATCCACAGAGAAATATGAACGTAAGTGAACGTTTCGGCCTGTTAAAGCCTTTGTCAACACCAGACTGTAGTGTTGACAAAGGCTTTAACAGGCCGAAACGTTCACTTTCTTTCATATTTCTCTGTGGATTTTCCGCATAAAATGATCAGTGTTTTGTGATCGTCAATTGCATATTTTATTATATATATATATATATATATATATATATATATATATATATATATATATATATATATATATATATATATATGTGCATGTGTGTGTAAATCACAAAAATTAACACACCATGAACAATGTGACACTGTCAGACCACGAAGGAATAAGGCAGGAATTTCCTTAAGTACTTTCATATTTAAAATACATCTTCAAAAGAATATATATATATGTATATATATATGCTCCTGGCGTCCGGGTAAGTCAGGTGTCTAGACCTGGCCCTTTTCAAAGCAACAAGAAACGCCCAAACTGTTAAGTAATCATCTTGAGTAATTGTGTTTCCATGTATTCGTTATAGAGGTTCTGATAAGGATTGTTCTTCCCATTAGAGAACTTCCTTTATATTGCTCTTTAATCAAACTAGACTGTGTAGGTGCGAGTAAGATTAAGCCTGATGTGTCTTGTCTCAGTTACTGGGCTTTGAGGGTTACCTTGAGGTGGTTTCGGGGATTAGCGACCCCACGGCCCGGTCTTCGACCAGGCCTCCTCGTTGCTTGGACTGGTCAACTGGTTAGTGTCACCACTTCCCTAGACCCAAGTCACTTCCCATCAATGCTACTTTCTACTTATTATTTGCTACTTACCGAGGATATATACACAAAAGAGGCTTCAAAATATATAAAGAAAAAAATATATTCAGCGCCAGAAACATGAAGGAAAAGGAAACTATCAGAGGGGGAAAGCGCCAAGCCATTACGACTATATAGCACTAGGAAGGGGTGAGGATAAGGATTTGGGATGGGACGGAGGGGAAAGGAATGGTGCCCAACCACTTGTGGACGGTCGGGGATTGAACGTCGACCTGTATGAAGCATGAAATTAAATTATAATGAAATTGTAATATAAAATTTTTTTTTTTACCCCTTATTCGTTTGCATGGATTAATATATTATTAGTTATGCATTTGCTTTACTCCAGCAGGAATTAAAATAAAGTTGAAGAAGAAGAAGCAAGAAGGACTTCTTTTCTTTACTGTGTTCCTAAAGGACTCTTGCACCACTGATCACATAAACTATTGCACTGAAAACACGAATCTCAACCAGAGAAATTGCAGTAATTAACCAGTTTTCAAGAAGAGATTTTGAGCAATGATACTAAACAGATTCCAAAGATTACGACTTCATGTCTCTGAGAAATGAGTTTTAGTGAAGGGTGTATCGATGAGTGTTGAAGTTACTGTGGTTGAAGTTTCTGTGGTTGTAGGTGGTGTGGTTAAGGGGGCTCTAACTTGCGAAAGAGCTGTAGCTATGCAAAAATGGCGTGGGTTCCCCCTTACATCAGATAAGTTATACAGCCACAATTTCATCATAACCCCTGATGGATTGTGAACATTTGAGGAGCTAAGTAGCTGCGAACAGTTACAGAAACCATCAGTTAACAGTTATAAGTACTAGGCTAATGTGAATAACTGGAGTAACAAGTTACTTTGAAAAAAGTGAAGAGGCTACAAGGCAAAGAAAAGTGTTTCAACCTCATACTGAGTAGCATTGGAACTCAGAACTTCCCTAACTATCTTGGTAATTAGCAATTGCTTCCAGAGAGGCTCCAAAGTTTTTAAGAATCACAGAGTACTTGCCAGAGAGCACAACAAACTGGAATGAGTCAAGACAGCAGCTGGAAGTGTCATATCCAGCTGTTGTGTCTGAATGAAACAGCTGGAAGTCTGATTTGCCGTTGGTGTGGGTGAATACAACAGCTGGCAGTGTAGTAGACAGCTGGCAGTGTAGTGACCAGCTGTCAGACCAGTTTGAGGACACAGCAAGATGGATACGACAGCACACTACACCCTCCTCGCCCTCCTCCTCCTCACGCCCCAAGGTAAGTCAGCTATAAAGTGGACAAGACTCCTGATAGGAGTCCCCTGAGAATTCCTCCTGCGTCCTACCTCTCAGAGGGGCAGAGGAAAGTAACGTAGAGGGAATATTTCCTGGAAACACTTTTTTCCCTGGAAGTATATTTCTCAAAGAACGTATTCGACACTATGTACCGGTGTCGATGTTTAGGAAGGATAATTAGGCCCTTCTCCCACCTGCTCTTCTCGGCTTATTTCTATCTATCAATTCCTTCATGTTTATTATCTTATTTCAATCTGTCTTATCTTCGTAGCTGTTCTAAATAAACTAATTTCATGTGATAATTTTGCAATTTGTAAGTGATTTTATCTATCTGTATTATTTGCTAAAAAAATCTGTTTAATAATTGCATAATTTTGTCGATAAAGTAAAACAATAAACTTATATGCTATAATTAAAGTGCATTTTCCAGCACTTTTATTTTTTATTATTAAGATAATAGGGCTCAACAGGAGTAGACCTCAAGTTCCTGTTTAAACTGTAAGTTAAGAACTGATATTCAGTATCAGTTTATCTGAAGTTTGACCCTAGGAACAAATTTATTTATTTTACTTATTTGTTTTTCATTTGGAAAAAAACTTTGTTTAATGTTAAATTACTATTACATTAGAGGATAAAGCTGGATCTTTATTTGGATCCAGCTTTATCCTCTTAAAGCTTTATCCTCCTTTATAAAGTCTTTAATTGGTCGAATGAGTTAAGTGCACGTGTATACACCTTTTAGGAATAACGAATAGTGCCATTAAAAATGAAATCGACCTGGAAATAAGAGTCTGGTTGATCAGACGACAGCCTGGTGGAAACCGGGTTACGGAGCGATTGATCCCCGGAACCTCCACAAAGTAGCCACAAGATATCCATGTAAAATCAAAAATATAAAAACCTTCAAAGAGTCTTGGACTTGGACTCACAAGAGTCCACAGAGGGACTCTTAGACCAGAACCATGCTTCAGTCACAAGAGAACGACAAAGAAATTAATGAAATCCTGAAAGTTCAGTATGAAACTATGTTTAGCTTCCCCAATGAACAACATTAAAGTTGAAGATCCAGACTTGAGAATGGTCCAGGACGGACTGAAACGTCGTCGTCCCTTCACCTTCTAGTGTGTGGTCTGGTCAACATACTTTAGCCACGTTATTGTGACTCATCGCCTACACTTGAAGATCCAGACATCTTTATAAAAAACGATAGCCATAATTTGATCAAAATAAAACCGATATTCATACGATCGCAGCAAACTTTGATTGAGAAAGTAACAACCATGTACTCAGCTGAGAGTACTAACTCCTTGAACTCTATATTAGTACAGAAATGGAAGGTACAAGTAGAACGAGTGTTCACGAGTGTATGGGGACAAAATACTGGACATGGGAGAGATACCAGAGGCTCCTAAATCACCAGATATAACTCCACTCCACAAGGGAGGTAGCGAAGAGTTGGCTAAAAATTAAAGACGGGTCGAATTAGCATCACATATAATTTTAGCTTTCCAAAGTGCTAAGGAATCGAATCTCCAGTTTTATGGAGGACAATGAACTTCACAACCCAAGGCACGAGGGATTTAGAGCAGCAAAATCATGTTTCGCAATTAATTGACCTAAATAATTCACGGAAGCATGATAAATGCTTCCGGGAAATCGTAGTGACTGCACTGTCCAAATGTATTCCGTCTATTTTGGAAAATGCAAAAATGTTGTTGACATGCACATTGCAAAGGACTTGTATAAATGTGGACGGGGGTGATAACCCATAATACTAAGTCCATAGTGATAGGCGTCCATCAGTCTCAGGAGACTATGGAGTTGTGCTCTGGTTGTCGGTCTGGAGTGGCCTCTCCAGGCCGCAAAGCCAGGGTAGGAGAAGCTGTTACCCATGCAGCAGGTTCCCCTGGGCGCAAAGCCAAGGCAGGTTGATACAGATAACAGAATTATTGCGAAATATATTAAATTTCCTCTCACACAAAATGTAAACAGTGAGTCCAATCAAATAAATTCAAGTACTATGACATTTAAAAGCGCTGTTCCCCAGGGCACGGTACTTCCACAATTGTACTTGCTTAGTACCGTGTACTATATAGTATTAGTACTTGCCCAAATACATGGTACTTGCACCGTACTTAAACAAAATGACGTAAAAACTTCATATCATCGTTTGCATTTAATGTAAAAATCAACATGAAAATATCTTATATATTAGACACTGAATAACCGACAGTCTGAAATCAATAAAGTCTTCAAATGGGCAACATAAAATGATTATTGTAACAGTGATAAATTCCAAGAAAATAAACACAATACAGAATACAAAACACAATCATATCTGGCCGAAGGAACGCAATATGCAGAGGAGCCGGAAATGATGATATCAAACGAGCTAACGAGCATAACAAAGCAAACACAACATTTTCCAGGAAAAACAATGGATAGGATGATGAGAATCTTCATTTTCAGAATTTCTCTCACACTGTTATTAATATTTATATCGCTTTTGATTTCCAGGCTTAAGTATTGCTCAGTATTAATTTCCTATTTCTCTCTCTTCTTTATTCTCTCTCTGTCTTTGTCTCTCTCTCTTTTTGTCTATATCTCTTCCCTCTCTTGCTGTCTTTGCCTCTGCCCCTCTGTCCCTCTTTTTCTGTCTCTGTTCTCTCTCTCTCTCTTTCTCATTATGTATATATATGATATATACAACGATAATTATATATTATATATATATATATATATATATATATATATATATATATATATATATATATATATATATATATATATATATATATATATATATATATATTAAGGGTATCACCTCTGGTGCAATTGTAGGGACCCATAGCCTTGGAGAAGAGAATAAAGGGTATTCAGAGAAGACCTTGTGGATAATCACAGAGCACTTGAATATTTTCTTCTCCTACCACCCCTACTTTCATATTATTTAATGCAATATGATATCTTTATTTGATTAATTGTATTACATTGTGATATGTTTTACAGAAAATACATATTGCAATCACTGTTCGAAGACCTCATCCAGGTCTTCGGAGACGGGGTTTGTGCCAGGCATTATAGACTATTTTCAGACAATATGAATTGTCTAAAATGTCGTATCAATTTAATATAAATGTAATTGAGGTAATTAAGATAAAAATTGAACTGGTTGAAGCACCAAACCTGTCCACCATTTTGTCGATTACAGTGTCAAGACACAAGTGTTTATGTACCATTAAATATAACGTAAGACTAACGCTCTGCTTGAACAAATGAGCAGCGTTCTCCAAGGGTTGTGTGTGTTTCGTAGATTGCAACACTTGTTTTTAGTCAAAACAAAATCAACTCAAATATGGAGAACGAGTATATGACTGAGCAGAGACGAGAATGCAAACTGTGTGTATATATATATATATATATATATATATATATATATATATATATATATATATATATATATATATATATATATATATATATATATATATATATATATATATATATATATATATATATATATATATATATATATATATATATATATATATATACTGACACCTCCCAGCAGTTACTCCCAAGTACCTATTTACTGCTGGGTGAGCACAGTTTTTCAGTGCTAGGAAACATGCCCCTTTGAGTCTTGTGTCTTAAGCAGGAATCGAACCCGGGATTCCACATTTTGAGTCAAGAAAGAAGGGAAATGAAAGGGAACTATCATGGGGAAAGCGTCAAACCATTACGAGAATATAGCATTGTAGAACGAAGCTAAATATACTACAAGTCACTGCTCTTGGTAAGGTTACAGGAGACTAACCATCCGACTCTGCTCCTCAGGTCTGTCAAAGGGGACGTTCAAGGGAGATTACGACTACACTGATATCTACTACTACCAGGAGTCAGGCATTGAGCCTCCTACCTTTCTGGCCCGACCTCAGACCTTCACTGTGGAGGTGGGCCAGTCCGTCATCATCCCCTGTGATGTGGAGAACCCAGGTACGTGGGTATGGTACCTTTAAACCCAGTTCTGTAGGTGTACACTTCTAGCATCAAGGCTTATAGTGTTCAGTTCGACCTACAGATACGCTGGTCTTCACTTCAACCGCCAAGGTTTCTTGATGTACACTTCTTTCTCCTGATTTCTTGGCGTAACCTTTCGCTTTCAGGTCCTTTGGAGGTCCCTTCGACCTACAGGTCTTATGGCGTGCAGGTTATGAGTGAGATCGTAGGTCTCATTTCCATTTCGACGTCGATTGGTCTATATTTTCATCTCCAGGTCTGCAGGTACTCACTCCCACCTCTCACTTCCTAATGAGCACTTCGATTTGTTTCTTCAATATCCTGCTATAAAACCATATACACTGACTGTGTGTCATTAAGCTCAGTGTAGAGTGTACACGAAGGGCCGCTTATGTCTCTCGACATCGTCCTGTGTATGGCATGTCCATCGAATTGAAACAAATCGGAACAATTGTATATGGGATTATTTTTGCTCTATACTATTCAGCTGTTTCCACCTGCTTCTTGGTTCCTCAGGCGGGCGCAACAGGCTAATCATCAAGAAAGTCCCAGCTAACGGTGGCAGCGAGAAACTGCTATCAGTGGGCACCGATAAGGTGACTCCAGACCCCAGAATGGCTGTCGACGGCTCCAGACTCACCATCTCCCACACGCGACCCAGAGACGCCGGCACTTTCATCTGTCAGTTCGACCTGGAGCCGCCTCTTCAGCTGAGGCACATCCTGGATGTCCAGTACGCGCCCTCTGTCAGATCCCTGGTGCCGCCAGAGCAGAGGGTCGCTAAGGGCCACAATGTGTCCTTGGAATGCAAGGCCCATGGTAACCCTGAGCCTATTATCCGCTGGTCTCGTAAAGAAGGGGGAAAGATGTGTAGATTTTTGCAGTGATTAAAAACCCGTGAAGTGAAAATGGCTACAGTGATTTGGCGAGACTGGGAAGATCTTTCAAAATTAAACACTCAAAGTTTCTCAAAAATATATAAATGTTAGTTTTACATACATACATAGAATTATTTTGCACAACCATGACCTGCCCTGACGTTACCTGACCTGCTCTGACCTGCCCTGACCTGCTCTGACCTGCTCTGACCCTCCCTGACCTTCCCTGACCTGCCCTGACCTGTCACGACCTGTCCTGACCTGCCCTAACCTGTCACGACCTGTCCTGACCTTCCCTAACCTGCCCTGACCTATTCCTACCTTCCCTGACCTGCTCTGACCTGTCCTAATCTTTCCTGACCTGCCCTGACCTGTCCTAATCTTTCCTGACCTGCCCTGACCTGTCCTGATCTTCCCTGACCTGCCCTGACGTTCCCTGACCTGCCCTGACGTTCCCTGACCTGCCCTGACCTACTCTGACCTTCCCTGACCTGCCACGACCTGCCCTGACCTGTCCTAATCTTCCCTGACCTTCCCTGACCTCCCTGACCTGCTCTGACCTGCCCTGACAGGGGGAGAGGCTGGCCCTGGAGGCGGTGGATCGCCACATGGAAGGAACTTACCTCTGTACCGCCGACAACGGCATCGGAGAACCCGCCTCCGCCGCCATGTCCGTCACTGTCGAGTACCCGCCAGAGGTCACTGCGGAACAGGTGAGTCCCCCCCCCCTCTGGCACCGTCGAGTACCCGCCAGAGGTCACTGCAGAACAGGTGAGTCCCCCCCCCCC